GGGTGAACTGGACAAATTCTTGAGAAGTACAAACTACTACTAAACCTGAATAGCCCTATAGCTATTAAAGAGATTGAATCTGTAGTTAAAAAACCTTCCCACAAAGAAAACTCCAGGCTCAGACGGTTTTACTGACAAATTCTACTGAACATTTAAGGAAGAAATAAACCAAGCCTACACAACAATTGAACACCTTAAAAAGACTGAATAGGACAAAGGCTTTCTAACTCATTCTATAAGGACAACATCACTCTAACACCAAAAAGGATAAATGCATTCTTTTAAAAAGTATATAAACATGGGCCAGAGCTGTGGCCTAGAGGGTGAAGCCCCAGCCTGCAATGCCAGCATCCCATATGGACACCAGTTTGAGTCCTGGCTGCTCCACTTCAAATCCAGCTCTCTGCTATGGCCTGGGAAAGCAGTAGAAGATGGCCCAACTCCTTGGGTCCCTGCACCCACGTGGGAGACCTGGAAGAAGCTCCTGGCTCCTGGCTTCAGATCAGCTCAGCTCTGACTGTTGCTGTCATTTGGGGAATGAACCAGCAGAATGGAAGACCTGCTCTCTCTCTGGCTCTACCTCTCTCTCTAACTCTGTCTTTCAAATAAATAAAATCTTTTTTTTAAAAAAAAGTATATAGAAACCAATTTCACTTATAAATAGATACAGAAATTCTTAACAGAATTTTAGCTCATCAAGTACACCAATATATAAAAAATATACTTAGCAACATTATCTGCAATAGCCAAAGATAAGTTTCCATCAATAGATGAAGATAAAATAAAATATGATTTATATATATAATTTGAGGGATCTTCAAAAAGTTTGCAGAAAATGTACATTGTGAAAAAATTATGCATTGATTTCAATTTTTTTGCCCCCAAATTATCTTTAAATTTCATTTTCCATGAGCTTTTTGAAGTACCCCCATTGACTATTATTCAGCCATAAAAAGAAAATTTTGGTCAACACTACAACATGGATGCTTTCTAACATTATGCTAAGTAAAATAAGCCAGACACATACAAAATATACTGTATGATTGCACTCATATGAGGTACATAGAGTAGTCACATTCACAGAGACAGAAAGCATAATAGTGGCTACAGGGGACAGAGGAGCAAGGAGCAGGCAGTCACCGTTCAATGGTATACAGTTAAGTCTGACAAGGTGAAAAATGTTCTTTGGAAGGATAGTGGTGATGGTCACACAACAACATGAATGCAGCTACTGCCACTGAACTGTGTACTTGAAAACTCTTAAACTCTGAGTTTGACGTTACACGTATTTTATCACAATTTTAAAATAATTTGAAAACATAATCCACTTATTTAAGAGAGTAAAATGTATCATAACTAACTAGGGTTTATTCTATCAATGTAAAGTTGGTTGAACATTTGCGCAGTCGGGGTAACTCAGCACAGTGAGAACCAAAAAGGAAGGGTGAGCGTTTGGCCTAGCAGCTAAGGCCTGGTTGGGGCCTCGATTCAGTGCCCAGCCCCAGCCCCGGCTCAGGACTCCAGCTTCCTGCTGATGCAGACCCTGGGAAGCAGCACTGAGGACTCAGGTGGTTGGGTTCCTGCCACCCACATGTGAGCCCTGGCTTGGGCATCTGGAAAGTGGGTAGATAGTAGGAATTCATGTGTGTGTGCATCTGCCTCTCAAATACATACATAAACATTTTAAAAAGAAGCTAAAAAAACCATCCCAGTAGATGCAGAAAAAGCACTTGACAAAAGTCCAACATCTATTCTTGATTTTAAAAAACAAAACTCTCAGCAAACTAGGCACGGGGAGAACTTCTTCAGCCAGATTTTAGAAACTATAACTAATCTATATAATGGAGCAAAACTAATGCTTCCCCCACTAAGATCAGAAGTAAGGAAAGGATTCCACTCTCATCATTTCTGTACAACATTTTATGGGAGGTCCTAGCCCATAAAAGGAGAAAAAAAAAGAAATAAAAATACCCAGATCCATATTGGAAAAGAAATAAAACTGTCTCTATCAGCAAGAGCATGATCATTTATATAGAAAATTCAATGAAATTTATTTTGCAAAGCTAGTAGAACTAGTGAGTTTAGCAAGATTGTAGAATATCAAGACACAAAAATCAACTGTATTTCTCTGTTTGTAACAATCAGAAATTGAAATTGTAAAAATACCATATTCAGTAGCATCAAATTATATGGATTATATAGGAATAAATCTGAGAAAATGTGTGAAACTCAAATACTACAAAGCACAAACTATTGCTGAGATAAAATTCAGGGAAGCTCAAGTAAATGGAGAGAGATATTATGTTCATGAGTTTGAAGACTCAATATTAAGATACCAATTTTCCACAAAAATGATCTATAAAAATTAAATTCTAATCAAAATTCTAGCTCTTTTTAGTAGAAATTGACAAGCTGATTCTAAAATTAATATGGAAATGCAAAGGACTCAAATAACCTAAAAACCTGAAAAAAAAAAAAAAGGTGAGCATTAACATTACCCATTTAAGTTTTACAATAAAGCTATAGTAGGGGGGCGATGTTGTGGCATAGTACGATAATCCTCCGCCTGTGGTGCTGGCATCCCATATGGGCACCAGTTCATGTCCCAGCTGCTCCTCTTCAGATCCAGCTCTCTGCCATGGCCTGGGAAAGCAGTAGAATGTTTGGGCCCCTGCACCGGTGTAGGAGACCTGAAAGAAGTTCCTGGCTCCTGGCTTCAGACTAGCCCAGATCTGGCCATTGCAGGCATTTGGGGAGTGAACCAGCAGATGAAAGAACTTTCTCTCTGTCGCTCCCTCTCTCTCTGTAACTCTACCTTTCAAATAAATTACAATCTTTAAAAAAAAAAAGTAATCAAAACACTATGATATTAACATTTAGATAAATAGATCAATGGAACAGAATAAAGAGTACAGAAATAGAACCACTCAAATATGAACAATTGACTTTTTATAAAAACACGAAGGCAACTCAATGGTAAAAGGATTGTCTTTTCAAGGCCAGCACTATGGCGCAGCGGGTTAACACCCTGGCCTGAAGCACGAGCATCCCAGATGGGCACTGGTTCTAGTCCTGGCTGCTCCTCTTCCGATCCAGCTCTCTGCTATGGCCTGGGAAAGCAGTAGAGGATGGCCCAAGAACTTGGGCCCCTGTACCCACGTGGGAAACCCAGAAAAAGCTCCTGGTTCCTGGCTTTGGATCAGCACAGCTCCAGCCGTCGCGGCCATCTGGGGAGTGAACCAGTGGATGGAAGACCTCTCTCTCTGTCTCTACCTCTCTCTGTAACTCTGTCTTTCAAATAAATAAAATAAATCTTTGAAAAAAAAAAAGGATTGTCTTTTCAACTAAAAGGACTGAAACAGTTTGATATCTATATGCAATAAAAATAATCTAGATCCATACCTGTACCATATACAAACATTATTTTAAAATAAGTTATAGACCTAAATGTGAAACCTAAGACTATAATACTTCTGGAAGAAAAAATACAAAATCTTTGTGACCTTATGTTAGGTAAATATTTTTAATATGCCACACCAAAAGCATAATAAAAATTTGATAAAGTATACTTCATCAAAATGAAAAACTTATGGGGGCCAGCATTGTGGCATAGCGGGTAAAGCCATCACCTGCAATTCCAGCAACCCATATGATGGGCACAGCTCATGTCCTGGCTGCTCCGCTTCTGATCCAGGACCCTACTAACAGCCTGGGAAAAGCAGCAGAAAGATGGCCCAAGTGCTTGGGCCCCTGCAGCCATCTGGGGAGTGAACCACAGGATGGAAGATCTCTGTGTCTTTCCCTTTCTTTCTGTAACTCTGACTTTCAGAAAAATATACAAATTTTAAAAAAATTATGAACTCCTCCTTGAAAGATAGTGTTAAGAAAATAACGAAATAAGCCACAGACGAGAAAAAAGTGCACATCAGTTATTTGATAAAACACCTACATGGAGAATATATAAAAACCTCTCAAACTCAACAATAAGAAAACAAATAAATCCATTTTTGGAGAGGGCGTAAAATTTGAACAGAAACTTCACCAAAGATGTTTGAATAGTAAATATCATATGAGAAAATGCTCATTATCAGTAATCATTAGGAAAAGCCAAATTAAAACCAAGTGTATGTTTATTTAATTTTTAAAAGGCTAAAATGGAAATGACTACTCACGTCAGGTATTGAGGAAGATTCAAAACAACTTCAACTCTCTCACATGGCTGATGGGTGTGAAATAGTAGTTAATAAAACAGCTTGGCAGCTGCTAAAAAGTTAAATATACATTTACCATAGGATTTTATTCCTAGGCATTTACCCAAAAGAAATGAAAGCGTATGTCCCCAAAAAACATACACCCAAATATTCATAGCAGCTTTATTTGTAATAGCCAAGAACTCCAAATAATCAAATATCCATCAATAGGATAATGATAAGTTATAGGATATTCACATAATGGAATACTATTTAGCAATAAAACAGAATCAACTAATGATAGATACACTAACATCAATGAATTTCGAAACAATTACACTGTGTAAAAGAATATATGACTTTTTAAAAAAATTCATTCATTCATTCATTCATTTAAAAGAGAGGGAGAGACAGAGAGAGAGATCTTCCATCCACTACTTCATGCCCTAGGCAGCCACAATGGCCAGGACTGGGCCAGGCCGAAGCCAGAAACCAGTAGCTTCATCTGGGTCTCGCACATGGGTGGCAGGGGCCCAAACACTTGTACCATCTTTCACTGCTTTTCTCAGGCCAAATACTTGGGTTCCTGGCACCCATTGGAAAGACCCAGATGAACTTCCTGGCTCCTGACTTTGGCCTGATCTAGCCCAAACTATTGTGGGCATTTGAGGAATAAACCAATGGATGGCTGATCTTTCTCTCTGTCTCTCCCTTTCTGTTACTCTGCCTTTTGAATAAATATATAAATCAATCTTGTTTAAATGTTTTTTAATATCTGAGGTTCATATCCATCACAAATAAAGAGCTCACCATCTTCAATGGCGTTTTTGATGGCACGAAGTCCATCTCTTAGAGCATCCTTGGTTTGTGTGAGGGTGTGCTTATTTGGGCCTTTGACCAACAGGGTGACCGAGCGAGGGTTAATACAGTCCTCAATAAAAGTAAACTTTTCTTCACCCTAAAGGATAATACAAGATATAACCTTAATATTCAATTTCCCGAAAATCAAGAGTTAGTTTATTTTAGAATATATTAGAATCCAATCTTCAAGTGAAGGTTTTTTTTTTCTAATCAAACATGACTAAAGGTATGTCTAAAGTAGTAAATTTATACTTGAACTCTTAGCAAACATTCAGGTAAATAAACTATAAAATACGTCCTGAGGATTAGACCTCAAAATGGAAAACATGAATTAAAAGCTTAGTGGGTCTTGTGATTTTTTTTTTTTTTGGTTGTTTGTCAAAAAAGCAGCCTAGGGTTCCTTTATAACCACTGTTCACAGAAATACTCACTAATGTATGCTCATATACAAGACCAGCATGGCCCAAGCAGTCTACACTGAGGTCTTCCAGGGAATTCACAGCTATTCCGCCACAAGCAAGAGACAGTCTGAAATGACATGTCACCGTAAACTTTGGTTATAGAAATCTTAAAGGCTAATGAGAAAGAGATATCCAGCACAAAGGACTGTATTGCTGCTGCTTTATGCTCCTATTGTGTTGGCAGGTTTTTAATTTTTTAATTGGCAAATTGTATATATTTATCATGTATAATATATCTTAAAATATATATATATACACATTGTAGAATAACTAAGTCGAGATAATTCACATGCATTACCTCACGCCGTTAGCATTTTTGGCGTAAGAACACATAAAATCTATTCTCTTTGCATTCTGTTAATACAATATGTTCATTATAGTCATCATGTTACACAATACATTTCTTGACCTTATTCCTCCTTATTCATTTTTGCTTTAACTAACATCTCCCCAATGCCTCAACCCCCACCACAGCAGTCCCTGTTAGTCACCTTTCTCCTACCCACTTCTGAGCTCAATGTCTTAGATTTGACCTGAGTGAGATCATGTGGTGTTGTATTGTATTGTTTTAGGAATCTGTTTTAGGGGCCAATATTGTGGCACAGCAGGTTAAGCCACTGCTCGTGACACCGGACATCCCCATCTCGGCGTGCCAGTTTGAGTCCCTGCTGCTCTTCTTCTGATCCAAAGCCTTGCTAATGCACCTGGGAAAGCAGCAGATGGTGGCCTAAATACCTGGGCTTCTGCCACTCATGTTGGAGATCTGGGTGAACTACCTGGCTCCTGGCATCAGACTGGCCCAGCCCCAGCCATCACATACTTTGCCAAACTGTTTTTCAAATAAATAACCTTTTTATTTTTTTTTAATATTTACTTATTTATTTGAAAGTCAGAGTTAGAGAGAGAGAGAGAAAGAGAGAGAGAGAGAGAAAGGTCTTCCATCCTCTGGTTCACTCTCCCAGATGGATGCAATGGCTGAAGCTGCGCCAATCCGAAGCCAGGAGCCAGGAGCCAGGAGCTTCTCCCAGATCTCCCTTGTGGGTGCAGGGGCTCAAGTTCTTGGGCCATCCTCTAGTGCTTTCCCAGGCCACAGCAGAGAGCTGGATCAGGAAGTAGAGCGGCCAGGTCTTGAACCGGTGCCCATATAGGATGCTGGCGCTTCAGGCCAGCCCCTAAATAATCTTTAAAAAAAAAAAAATGTTTTAAAAAGATGAAAATTGGGCCGGTGCTGCGGCTCAATAGGCTAATCCTCCCCTGCGGCGCCAGCACACCGGGTTCTACTCCCTGTCGGGGCGCCGGATTCTGTCCCGGTTGCCCCTCTTCCAGGCCAGCTCTCTGCTGTGGCCCGGGAAGGTGGAGGATGGCCCAAGTCCTTGGGCCCTGCACCCGTAAGAGAGACCAGGAGAAGCACCTGGCTCCTGGCTTCAGATCAGTGCGGCAGTGGCCATTGGAGGGTGAACCAATGGCAAAGGAAGACCTTTCTCTCTGTCTCTCTCTCACTGTCCACTCTGCCTGTCAAAAAAAAAAAAAAAAGAAAAAAAAAAAGAAAAGAAAAGAAAAGAAAATCTTCCTTGTAGTTTAACAAAGTTCTGAAGTAGGTTAACCTTGGTGTTTTTTTTTTTTTTGTCTTGCTTTGTTTTTTTTGTTTGTTTGTTTGTTGAGAGGCAGATAGATAGACAAGAGCTCCTTCTATCTACAGGTTCACTCTCCAAATGTTTGCAACAGTCTGGGCTTGGCCAGGGTGTAGCAAGGAGCCAGGAATGCAATCCACTTCTCGTACTTGGAAGGCAGGAATCCAGTTACTGGAGCTGTCATTGCTGCCTCCAAGTCTGCATTGGCGGGAAGCTGGAGCTGGGAGCCAGAACCGGGAATCTAACCCAAGCACTCTGAGGCGGGACACAGACATCTGAAATAGCTGAATGCCCATTCTTACAACCTTGGTCTTTCAACAGTTCAGCGTTTGCTGAAATTAAGAACTAAACTTGGGATGTGTATGCTACTATTTTACTCTGCAATGTTTATGTATAAGCCAAAAGGACTATTTGGGATGATTTCAATTTAATCTGTTAAAAGATTTAGAGGGATTAGGAGAGGGAGGAGGAGGAAGGGTGGGAGTGTAGGTGAGAAGGAGGGTAGCGTGGGAAGTATCACAATGTTCCTAAATCTGTATACATAAAATGCATGAAATTTGTATACCTTAAAAATTTAATATTTAAAAATATGAAAATACATAATTATCTGAAAGTTTACCTTTCCATATTTCTTCTTTTTGCTCTGCGCAGAGCTACTATTCCATGTTTTGCAAGAGTATCTAAGGAAAATGGATCAATTCCCTATAATAAAATTAATGTAAAAGTCACAAACATTTTAAAAATATGTTCACTTTTTCAGTTTTTAAGTTTACTTATTTATTTGAAAGAGAGACAGAGATTTATTTTCCATCTGCTGGTCCACTCCCCAGATGCTATTAAGAGCCAGACTGAAGCCAGGAGCCTGGAACTCCATTCAAGTCTCCCGCATGAGTGACAGGGACCCAAGTACTTTTGTCATCATCTGCTGCCTCTGCCTTTCAGGGTGCACATTAGCAGGAATGCTGGGGGAAGCAGAAACGGGACTTGATCCCAGGCACTTTGGTATGGGATGCAGGCTTCCAAGCAGCACTTTATCCCACTTTGCTACAATGTCTGCCCCTATAAACATGTTCCAAACTAGTATTTCTCACTCTTAGACTGCCTCACACTCTTAAAAAGTATTAAGAATTGGATGAGCTTTTGTTTATGTGAGCTGGAGCTGTAATACTTATCATGTTATAAATTAAAACTAAGAAACCTTAAATAGTTATTAACCTACTTTAAATAATGAGCCCATTTGTGATAATATAAGTGATATTTATAAATGAAAATTTGCGATATTTTCCAAAACAAAAAAATACATAATGAGAATGATATTGTTTACATTTCTGCAAACCTCGTTAATGTCTATCATAGCAGGAAACAAAATAGAATCTCATGTCTGCATTTGCATTCAATGTGGTGGCTCAAGTAAATGAAGAGAATCTGACCTCCCTCCGTTAAATATTGGAAAGGAAGGAATATTTAAATAGTTTTATTTTAGATAACTGCAGATATTCTTTGATACTACATATATCCAAAATGCAACAAGTAGTAGTTTTTAAAAGGTTAGTTTCAATGTGGAATGTGGAACTGTATCAATGAACTTTTCATATTCTCTCATTTTAAAATCTCTCTTTTGAACTATTTTTTCATGTTTATTTCCATCTGCTTGAACGAATGAAAGAGAAAGAAAGAGAGGGAATATTTTTCATCTGCTGGTTCACTCCCCAAATTCTCACAACGAGAGCTAGGCCAGGCTGAAGCCAGGAGCCTGGAAGTCCATCTAGGCCTCCCACACACTGAAGGTGGCAGGGGCCCAAGCATTTGACCATTAGCAGGAAGTTGGATTGGAAGCAGAGGAACTGGGACTGAAACTGGCATTCCAATGTGCCATTGTTGCAGGAGGAGGTTTAATCCGCAACAACACAATGTCAGCCCTGTGTTGCACTTTACCCTAGAGTGATTTTGTAAAAATGGCTAACCCATCCATTTCTTAGATGTTTAGAAAAGATTAGCTCACTGAGTTAAGTAACACCTCCAAACTTTAATACATTTCATGGTTATACAATATTTAGAAAACCTACATTTGTTAATTATATCACTATCAGAAAAGTCTGAAGTATTGGAAAGCTGTCATGCTCACTGTAGCAGATGTCAGTTTTCTGAAATTCTAATTTTTGTGTTTGAAAGCCCAAATGTTGCCAGTGGCAACAAGTACCATCAATAGTTTTCCCTGAAGTGACAGGATTGCTTCATTCATTTTTGAGAAAACACACCAGATACCCAAATCTAAAAAACTATGCTTTGCCAGGCAGTCATTCTTTTTTAAGTAAAAATAGCTTTCCATGAAAGAAGTGGCTAGTTTAGCTCACAACTCAATTACACGAGACAATTGTCCTATTTTGGCATGTAGCAGAAGGACTTTGTACATACTTCATATTTCATCACACAAAAAATTGTCTAAAGATTTATTTATTTGTTTGAAAGAATTACACAGAGAGAGGAAAGACAGAGAGAAATCATCTATCTGCTGATTCATTCCCCAAATGGCTACAACAACCGGGGCTAAGCCAGACCAGAGCCAGGAGCCAGGAGTTTTTTCCAGGTCTCCCACAGGGGTGCAGGGGCCCAAGGACTTGGGCGATCCTTCCCTGCTTTCCCAGGTGCATTAGCAGAGATCTGGAGCAGAAGTGAAACAGCCGGACTTGAACCAGTGCCCATATGGGATGCTGGAGCTGCAGGCCATGGCTTTAACTCTGCACCACAGCACCAGCCCCCACACAAAAGTTGTAAAGGCTTAATTTAAGAACCAAAATTTAATAAAATTCTTAAGTTTTACCACTCCATCAATACATTCTTAAATAAAACTGCATCTCTCTCTCTCTCTCTCTCTCTCTCTCTCTCTCTCTCTCTCTCTTTCTCGCTAAGTGACTGAAAGTCTCTGGTGGTGTGGCAATAAAGAATGAGATGGACTGGGGCGGGTGTATGGCTCAGTGGTTAAGATGCAGCTGGGGGCACTGCCATCCCACAAAATGCCTGACTGGAGTCCCAGTTCCTCTTTCAGCTAATGTGCATCCTGGGAGGCAGCAGATGATGGCTCGAGTACTTGGGTTCCTGCCACCTGCATGGGAGAATTGAATTGAGTTCCAGGGTCCTGGCTTCAGCCTGGTCCAACCCTAATGGTTGTAGGCATTTGGGGAGATGGAAACTCTCTCCCTGTCTGCCTCTGTCTTTCAAATGAAAATAAATAAATAAAAACTTTTATGTTAAAAGAACATGATGACTACTAATACGGTTTGGTGCTATTGTTTTGATTGCACTGAGGTGCCAGCAGTTTTACCTCTCATTGCCTTTGCACCATTACTGCAAATGGCAACACCATACAAAAGGCATCATGATGATGATGCTGATGAAAAACATAGTTTTGGCCTCAGACTTCCCAAAAGGGTCTTAGGAACTCTTAGGGGTCCACAGACCACCTTTTGAGAAATATTAACAAACACTTGCAAATAATTATAATCTCTACTTTCTTTCTCACCTTTTGATTAATAACAACAAATCCTTTACTGGACTTATCACAGACTTTGTCTTTCAGGTCTATGATCTTTTGTACCCTGTCTTCAATAAACTTTCTTTCGGCTTTTACCAATTTTTCTTTTTCTTCTGCAGTCTTATAAAAGAAACCAGAGTTCACTTCTCTGAAAGGTTAATAAAAAAACAGGTCAGTTAAGGCAGGGCGGGGTTGGGGGAGGGATGAGGGGAAAAGGCAGAAAGATTCTACACTAAACAACATTTGGGAGGGAAGAAAGAGATTACAAAATACTTTTAGAAAACACAATTTCAAAAGTTAGGAGGAGAAACTGACACATACGTTTTCTCATATTCTAGTGATACATTGCAAGTAAGGATAAATGCATCTTCTACTCGTTTCTTCATATCTGGATGACGGGCACCATGGTCCAAAACTAAGCCTCTGATCAACCTATTAAAAGCACATAATGAGTCTTACTTAGAATATACACTCTAAAATGTGGTATAAAATTAGAATTCTACTCTTCAAGTTGTAACAAAACTGCCAGGCACACAATGTTTCCTCGCACCAATCTGAAATCTAACATGTAATTAGTAGAATTAGGCAGCAGAACCTGCTGCCACTGTAGAGTCACAATAAAAAGTCTAAGTTATGCGGCTCAAATATACGATATGGCTAATCAAGTAATGCAAAGTAGGCACACAACAAGCTGCTTAGGAACATGCGTTCAAAATAATTATATGAAACAATGAAAAATTGTTCATCTAAATGTCCAACAAAAGAGAATTCTTAAGCAAATAATGACCCAACCATTTTATAGTCATGAAAACTACGTAACAACATAGAAAAATACTTACAGGATAATGCTTAAGTGGTAGAAATGGGGCAGGGGGGAGTTCTGTCCTCCAAATATTCTTACAAAAGTAAATATTTTTATAACTTTATAAAAATAATTTACATTAGAGGATGGTATTTCCACTTGCGAATCTTTATAAACTAATATGTTATACATTAAATAAAATTATTTTTTAAATAGTTCAACAAAAATGGTAAGGAATTTTTCAATATTTAAGATAACCAGATTATTCCAGCTTACTGAATATGACCATATTCCAGGATAAGAAAGACGTATGCTTAGGATTCTTGACTTTTTAAGCCTCTTTCATTTCCCTCCATTCTCATTCTCAGTAAGTGACCTTGCTTCATTGAAAAAACACACATTGCCCACTCACTACCCCCACTAAATTCATCTAGGATGTCTACCTTTGCATTCTCACTACTTCCCTTACAGTCCTCTCTTGAGCCCACCTTCAATCTGACTTTCACCTCCACCTCTTTACTGAATCAGTGCTCATTAAAGCCACCAAAAAACCAGTTGCTTTCCAAATATAATGATCAACTCTCAGCTCACAGCAATGCACTCTAACTCTCGGCAGCTAAGACACCAGTGATCTTTCTTTCTCAGAACATTTCCTTCTCTGGATTCCAGGGCACTACCCTCTCTTGGCTTTCCTACCTCACTGACCTGTCCTTTCCAGTCTCCTTTGATGAACCACTCTTTTTTTTTTTTTTAAGATTTATTTATTTATTTATTTATTTGAAAGTCAGAGTTACACAGAGAGAGAAAGAGGCGGAGAGAGTAAAGTCCTCCATCCGCTGGTTCACTCCCCAGTTGGCTGCAACAGCCAGAGCTGCACCAATTTGAAGCCAGGAACCAGGAGCTTCCTTTGGGTCTCCCACGCAGGTGTAGGGGCCCAAGCACTTTGGCCATCTTCTACTACTTTTCCAGGCCATAGCAGAGAGCTGGATCAGAAGTGGAGCAGCTAAGATTTGAACCAGCGTCCATATGGGATACCAGCACTGCAGGTGGCAGCTTTACCTGCTACGCCACAGCGTCGACCCCATGAACCATTCTTATCTTCTCAGGCTCTCAACATTGGAACTCCCCATGCTCAATCCTCACTTACTCTTTTCTCCATCTATATTCACTTCCCAGATGATCTCAGCAAGTTTTGTGGCTTTCAGTCATCCATACACTGAGGACTCTGACAGAGGCCTTTCCAGTCCAGATCCCTATTCCGTACTCCAGACAGGCCTCTCCACCTCCCCCTGAACATCTCCACATGCATGCCAGATAGACATCTAAACACGATATTCCCCAGACTCAGCTCTTGGTTGATTTTCCGGCTCATTCCTCCTGGTCTCCACCATCCCAAGAGGTGGCTGCTTTACCTTTCCAGCTGATCATGCAAATCCCGAGACAGCCTTGACTCCTCTGTGTCAGTCGTGCTCCTATCTCTCCTTCCTTCTAAATATACCCTGATCTAAGCCATTTTCCTTTCCCAGCTGGACTAAGAGAACATTTTCCTAACCAGTCTCCTCTTTCCTCTCCGTCTTCTCCTACCTCCCAAGCTGCTCTACAGTGTATTCTCCACACATCACACACAGCCTTCTGAAATTTAAAACAAGAACTGTTACCATCTGGAAGGCTAATTTGGACCAAAACTACTACCAAAATCAACTGAAAACGCTAGGTTAAAAACAAGAAACCTTAACATTGGAGGGCTATAAGACAGGAAAGACTTACTAGACAAAAACTGAAAATAATACAGGAACTCCAAATAGGTAAATAGAGAGCCGAGGTAAATCTGAACTTGGGTTTCAATGAATTCACAATGAGAAAGGGACAAAATTAAAAGGCCAGGGCTCATCCAAGGTGGAGTGTCTGATGAGAAACCTTTTCCACATTAAGCTCAAGCCCCAAAAGGCTACATATTCAGGGTTATCCAGAAGGATGAACTAGAAATTATCATCCCTCATGTGGACCTGCAGTAGTAATTCATATGGAAAGGATATTTTAAAGAAAACCTCAAGCTTTAAGTTGAATTTAGAGTGGCCCCTGGACTCCTTGCAGCATCAAATGCAAACCCTCTCTGCAGAAAGGCTCCATTATCCTGGGTCTCAAATCCTTCCACACTTTTCCCAAGCACAAACATGAAAACAAGACATGATGAGCAGAACCAGAAAAATACAACACCTGGAACATACAAACCAAAACTTCAGATATTGTGGCGATCAGGTATGAACTATATGTTTAAGAGGCAAGTTTGGAAAGATGTGCAAAGGCAAAGACACCATAAAAAGTGACGCAGCAGATCTAAGAAAGAATCAGAAGTTCTGTAAGTTAGTAATTAAAGGCATCCACCCATACATACACTCAGAGACAGTAAAGCTTCAAGGGAAGGGGCTGGCACTGTGATGCAGCGGGCTGCGCCTGCAATGCCAGCATCCCGTATCAGAATGCCAGTTCAAGGCCCAGTTGCCCCACTTCTGATCCAGCTCCCTGCTAATGCACCCCAGAAGGTAGCAGAAGATGACCCAAGTACTTGGATCCCTGCCACCCTTGTGGCAGACCCAGATGAAGCTCCAGGCTCCCAATGTTGGCCTGGACTAGCCCTGGCCATTGCAACCATTTGGGGAGTGAATCAGCAGATGGAAGATCTCAACCTCCCTCCCTCTGTCTCTCGCTCCTCTTCAAATAAATAAATATTTTTTAAAAAATTCAAAGGAGCAACAGACATGCATCCACATATCTAACTAAAGGATGTTATAATGTTTATGGCAACATTACCCACATGGGAAATTTGGAAATAAATTGTGCAATTTTAAAAGTTTTAGAGAAGCAGAGAAACAGGGAGATGGACAGGGAGCTCTCCGAAGGCTGCTTTAATCCCTGGATGTCCTCAGTGTTACCCAATTGGTGGCCAAACCCAGGAGCTGCTAACCCAATCCAGGCCTCAGGTCTCCCATGTGGGAGCCATTACTGTCTGCCTCCCAAGGTACACATTAGTAAGAAGATGGAATAGGGAGTGGAGGTAGTACTGTAACCCAGGCACCCATATATGTGATGTGGGCATCCTAAGCAGTGACTTAACCATTACACCAAACACCTCCCCCACACTGTGCAATGTTTTTTTTGTTTTTTTGTTTTTTGGGGTTTTTTTGACAGGCAGAGTGGACAGTGAGAGAGAGAGACAGAAAGAAAGGTCTTCCTTTTGCCGTTGGTTCACCCTCCAATGGCCGCCGCGGTCGGCACGCTGCAGCCAGCGCACTGCGCTGATCCGATGCCAGGAGCCAGATGCTTATCCTGGTCTCCCATGGGGTGCAGGGCCCAAGGACTTGGGCCATCCTCCACTGCACTCCCTGGCCACAGCAGAGAGCTGGCCTGGAAGAGGGGCAACCAGGACAGAATCCGGCGCCCCGACCGGGACTAGAACCCGGTGTGCCGGCGCCACAAGGTGGAGGATTAGCCTAGTGAGCCGCGGCGCCGGCCTCACTATGCAATGTTAACACACACACACACAAATGCTAAATAGCAGTGAGAATGAATAATGTGCTGATGCACAGAATAACATGTATGAATCAGACTAACAATACTGAATGAAAATAGACACGAAAGAGTACCTACTTTATGATTCCACTTATAAAAATACAAAATAAGTAACACTAATTTATGCTATAGAAATTCAAATTACTCAAGTCTGGCCTTGTGGCACAGTGGGTTAAGCTGATGCTTTGATGCCAGCATCTCATATTGGAGCACATGTTCAAGTCCCAGATGGTACACTTCCTATCCAACTCCCTGCTAGTGTACATGGGAAAGCAGCAGAAAATAGTCCAAGTGCTTGGGCCCCTACCACCCGTGTTGGAGACCTGGATGGAGTATCAACTTCAGTCTGGCCCACTCCTGCTTCCCAAATGCATGTGAGAGTATTGTACTACATATTAATAGCCTAGGAAAAGTTCAAAATTCAAAGTCCAGTTTCTACTGGACACACATAACTTTCACACCATCCTAAAGAAAAAAAAAAAGTTGAATCCCAACTCAGAAACCATCTATAAACCATCTGTAACTGCCAACTTAGTTCTATACACAATGAAAATACCAAAGAATAAAGATGAAAACAAAGGCATTTTCAGGCAAATGGAAACTTTAAGTATGCCTCCCGCAAACTATCACTGAAGGATCTACAGGATGAATTCTAGGTAGAAGAAAACAGCAGGCGTCCTTCCTTACCCACCGTTTCGCTCTCCGTGTTTTCAGTTACCTGTGGTCTGTTACTCGCTATCAGTCATCAAGAAGTGTTAACAAATGAGGAACTGGAAGAAGTCGTTGAGTCATCCTCAGGGGAGGATTAAGATGAAAAAGAAGAGACTAAAGCAGAACCAGCAACATGGACTGTTACTGAAGTTTGAATTGCACAGACATTAAAGGAGAAAATTACGGAATATAGTCCTCAGATGGAAGAGAGCATTAGAATTACCCGTGGGATCAGTGAAGGATCACAGCCTATGTGATAATACTTTGATCAGTTAAAAAAAAAAAAAAAAAAAGACAACAACTTCTGATTACAATGTTACTCCAAAAAGATTTGACAAAAACATTTCTAACTACCACGGATCCCAACCATCAACATCATCAGCATCTTCATGGCCGGATGATCAAGGCGCACCTGAAGCAGGTGACCTCCTCCTGACCTCTCATCAGGTCACTGGTAGCCGAACACTACGTCACACTGCCTGCATCATTCACCTCATTTCAGCCCATCATGTGGGCATCATATCATTGCCAGAAGATATTTTCAGACAGATCACATTCACAGAACTTGTATTATAATAATTATAATTGTTTCATTTCATCATTAGTTATTATTGCTAGTCTCTTATTGCACCTAATTTATGTTAAAATTTTTTAAAAGATTTGATTTTATTTCTTTGAAATGCATAATGATAGAGACAAAGGAACAGAGAAATCTTCCACACTCTGGGGTTCACTTCCCAAACAGCCTCCACAAATAGGGCTGAGCCAGGCCAAAGCCAGGAGCTTGGAACTCCATCCAGGTCTCCCACATGGGTGGCAAGGGCCCAAGGGTCATCTTCTGCTGCCTTCCCAGATGCATTAGCATAGAGCTAGATCAGAAGCAGAACAGCCAGATCTTGAACCAGCACTCTATATGGGATACCAGTATTGCAGGTGGCAGCCTAACCCTCTGTGCAACAACACTAGCCCCTATAAGTTAACTTTTTTTATAAGTATATATGTACAGGAAAAAACTTAGTATGGTTGCCCTCCATATCTGCAGGTTTTGAATTCATGGATTCAATCAACCACTGATTTAAAGTATTTGAAAAAAAATTATGCCTGAACTGAATATGTATAGTTTTTTCTTGTCATTATTCTCTAAACAATACAGGCTAACAACTATGGGTGTTCCCAGAGCATTAACATTGTATTAGATATGATAAGTAATCTATAGATGATTTGAAGTATATGGGAGGAGGGTGAACATTTGGTGCAGCAGTTAAGATCCTGTTTGGGACTCCTACCCCCCCTATCAGAGTGAGTTCAAATCCCACCTTCACCCTCATTCCAGCTTCCTGCCAGTGAAGACCCTGGGAGGCAATAGTGATGGCTCAAATAATTGAGTTCCTGCCACCGGAGACCTGAATTGTGTTTCTGTGTCTTTGGTTTTGGCCCTGCCTCACCCTCCCCCACCCGGCCATCACGGGCATTTGGGGAGTAAACAGCAAATGTCAGCATGTGTCTCTCTCTCTCTGTCTCTCTCTCTCTCTCTCTCTCTCTCTCTCTTTCTCTCTCTCATTCTCACTTTATCTCTCTCTGCCTCTCAAATAAATAAATAAAATTTAACATAAAAAGTATGAAAGGCATAAGTAACAATAAGAAAAATGGGAGGGACATCACTACAGATTCTGCAGATTATGAATATTTTATACCAAAAAAGGATATTTATTAATATTTTATGCCAAAATGCTGAAGATTTAGATAAAATGGACAAATTCCTGGATATCAAAAAATAAGTGGAAAACATAACTCGTCCCATAACCATTAAGAAAATTTCAAAAGTAATAAAAAATTTTCTCATAAAAGCCGTTCAAGACAATCAGGCTTCTCCAAAAGAATTAACATAATGAAAAATAATAAGATGGCTGGCGCCATGGCTCACTTGGCTAATCCCCCGCCTGCAGCGCCGGCACCCCAGGTTCTAGTCCCAGTTGGGGCACCGGATTCTGTCCCAGTTGCTCCTCTTCCAGTCCAGCTCTCTTCTGTGGCCCGGGAAGGCAGTGGAGGATGGCCCAAGTGCTTGGGCCCTGCACCCACATAGGAGACCAGGAGGAAGCACCTGGCTCCTGGCTTTGGATCGGCGCAGCGCACCGGCCGCAGCGGCCATTTGGGGGGTGAACCAAAGGAAGGAAGACCTTTCTCTCTGTCTCTCTCTCTCACTTTCTAACTCTGCCTGTCAAAAAAAAAATAATAATAAGAGAAATAGAGAACATGCAAATTATCAGAGACATAAAAGATATTAACCAATTGGGGCCAGTGCTGTAGCTCAGCAGGTTGGGCCACTGCCTGGGATGCCAGGATCTCATATGAGCTCTGGTTTGAGTCCTGGCAGCTCCACTTCCAGTTGAGCTCCCTGCTCGTGTACCTGAAAAAGCATCAGAAAAAGGCCCAAGTGCCTGGGGCCCTGCCACTCACATGGGAGACCCAAATGGAGTTCCTGGCTCCTGGTCTCAGCCTGGCCCGGCCCTGGCATTTGAGGAGTGAAACAGCAGATGGAAGATCTCTCTCTGCTCTCCCCTTCTCTCTATAACTCTGCCTGTCAAATAAATAAAATTTTTAAGAAAAAAAAAAAAAAAGGCATCAACCAGTAGAGTGGGCCTTGGGTGCAGCAGGTTAAGCTGTTGCCTGGGACACCTGCATCCCATACCGGAGTGCCTGTTCAAATCCTGACTATTTCATGCTTCTGGTCTAGCTTCCTGCTAATGTGCGGGAGGGGCAGCACATAATGGCCCAAGTACTTGGGTTCCTACCACCCATGTGGGAGATCAGGGTGGAATTCCCAGCTCCTGGCTTCAGCTTGGCCTACCCCAACTGATGTGGGCATTTGAGGAGTGAATCAGCAGATGGAAGATTCTCTCTCTCTCTCTCTCTCTCTCCCCACCCCCCTCAAACCCCCCATCTCTCTGCCTTTTAAATAAATAAATCTTTTTTTAAAAAAAGGATATCAAACAAGTGTAATATGTACCTCATGTTTGGTTCCTAATCCAAGTAAAACTGAAAAAAGGGGCAATTGTTAAAACTGGGATATTAATTGGACATATGATGGTTTTCATAAGTTATTGATTTTTAGATATAATGTTTTATGGCTATATTAGGTAAAAGAGAGGTAAGCTAGTATGTCTATTTATAGATAATAAAGTATTTATAGGTAAAACATTTCATCTGAATTTGCTTCAAAATAATCAATGTTTGGAAGAGGAAGAAGAAAGGATATAGTTGAAATAAAAGCCCATATATTAAAAATTGATAAAATAACAGGTATGTGAAAATTCCCTATTCTATTTCTCAGTATTTATGTATGTTTTGGATTTTCTGCAATACAAGAATTTTTTAATATTTATTTATTTACTTGAGAGACAGGCTTACAGAGGAAGAGACAGAGAGAGAGGTCTTCCACCTGCTGGCTCACCCCCCAAATGGCTACAACAGCCAGAGCTGGGCTGATCTGAAGCCAGGAGCCAGGAGCTTCTTCCAGGTCTCCCACATGGGTGCAGGGTCCCAAGGACTTGGGCTATTCTCCACTGCTTTCCCAGGCCATTAGCAGGGAGCTGGATAGGAAGTACAGTATCCAGGACTCAAACCAGCACCGCAGGCGGAGGCTTAACCTACTACATCATGGCACCAGCCCCCATAATACAACAATTTTAAAACAGTTAAATCCAAAATCTACAACATACATCATCTGGTCCCTCTGACCTCTCTGACCTCATGTCTTACTCTTTTTCTCTCTCGCTGCTCCAGACACACTGGAACCTACTGCCTCAAGACCTTTTCAACTCATTCCTTCTGCTTAGAGCAGATATACACAGGGCTAGCTCCCTCATTTCTTCCAAGACCTCTTTTCTCACTAGTTTCTTAGAAAGGCCTTCTCTGACCGCTATAAAATCACACATGGGATTTTCTTTTTTACTATGATTTCAAACACAAATGTAAGCTTCTTGAAAGAGAAATTCTGTTTTTGCTCACCTAAAACAGTGACTGGCTCATGGTGAGTACCCAATTATTATATGTCAAACGAATACTCTGATGTCAAACAAAAGCAACTAATGGAATTAACGAAAGAGTATCCTAAGAGAACTACATATTCCAATGCCTGCATATTGTCAAAGCATATATCATTTACTTTGTATCTGTTTCTGATTTATGCTTCATCTCCATGATTTCTATCATGAAGAGATCAATGGGGTAACCTGGTCTTCTAATAGCCAAAACGGAATCCACCACAGCCTGAAAAAGAAGCAGATGAGAAGAGTGTGTTATTTGGACTGTGAGAAGAAATCACTGCTTTAAGTAATCTATCACCACCAGACTAAATGGGTTCAGGACTTCAGGCCTCAAAACGCAAGGCAAGGCCAATTAGCTCCAGGTTATTATGGACACTGACAATAACCGATACCGTTAGACCCCGAGGAACTTCAGAGGTCATCAGGTCTAAACCCACTATTTTACTGAAAAGGAAACATGAGGCCTTGAGAAGGCACGGGGTGGGTGTTCGGTGCAGCGGTTAAGCTAGTGCTTGGGACGCCTGTATCCCATATCAGGGTGCCTGGCTGGAGTCCCAGCTACTCTGCTTCAGATCCAGCTTCCTACTAATGCACACCCTGGGAAGCAGCAGCTGATGGCTCAAATACCTGGGTCCTTGCCACACACATGGGAGACCCAAATGGAGTTCCAGGCTCCTGGCTTCAGCCTGGCCTAGCCACAACCATTGCAGGCATTTGTAGAGTGAACTAGCAGATGAAGGATCTCTGTCTATCTCTCTGTCTCTGTCTCTCTGTCTTTCAAATCAGATGCAAATAAATAGTTTTTTAAATTAATAAATTTTAAAAAAAGAAGTTACAGTCTTAAAATAAGATCTAACAGCTAATGGTAGAGACAAGACTAGAATTCAAGTCTATTAAAAAAAAGTATTTTATTTTATTTTATTTATTTGAGAGGCAGAGGAAAAGTGAGAAGCAGGCAAAGTTCCCATTCACTGGCTCCTTCCTCAAATGCCCACAATGGCTGGGGCTGGGACAGGCTGCAGTCAGCAGCCAAGAATTCAATCCATTTCTTCTGTGTAGATGACAGGGACCCAACCATCTGAGCCATAGCCTGCTGCCTCCCAGGGTGTGCACCAGCAGGAAGCTGGAATTAAGAGTGGAGCTGGAGGAGCCGGCTAAGTCCCAGCTGTTCTGCTTCTGATCCAGCTCCCTGCTAATGCACCCGGGAAAGCAGGGAAGATGGCCCAAGTGCTTGGGTCCCAGCATGGGAGACCCAGAAGAAACTCCTGACTTTGGCCTGGCCCAGCCCCAGATGTTGTAGCCTCCTGGGGAGTAAACCAGCAGATGGAAGATTCTCTCTCTCTCTCTGCCCCCACCATATCGCTGCTTTTCAAATAAATAAAATCTTAAATTAAAAAAAAAAAAAAAAAACGGTGGAGGGGTGGAGGTGGGATTCAAACCCAGCCAACTCTGATATGGGATGCAGGCATCCTAATCAGCATCTTAACCAGGCCAAATGCCTGCTCCAAATTCAGGTCTCTTTAAGCGCTAAGCTACTGCTCTTCCTACCGTATGAATACTACTCAAACTTTTCTTTAAAAAAAAAAAGAATATTTTGAGGTTGCTTCTATTTTTTTAAAAGATTTTATTTATTTATTTGAAGGGTAGAGTTACAGACAGTGAGAGGAAGAGACAGAGGGAAAGGTCTTCCAATGGTTCACTCCCCAGTTGGCCACAATGGCTGGAGCTGCACCAATCCGAAGCCAGGAGCCAGGAGCTTCCTTCGGGTTTTCCCACGTGGGATCAGGGGCCCAAGCACTTGGGCCATCTTCTACTGCTTTCCCAGGCCATAGCAGGGAGCTGGTTCGGAAGAGGAGCAGCCGGGACTAGAACTAGCGCCCATATGGGATGCCAGGGGAGGATTAACCTACTGTGCTACAGCACCAGCCCCTACTCAAACTTTTCTACCAAAGGACACTTAATGAAAAAGAAAGAAATATTGGGGCCAGCACTGTGGCATAGAGGGGTAAGCCCCCAAATGCAGTGCCTATAACCCATATGGTTGTCAGTTTGAATCCCGGCTGCTCCACTTCTGATCCAGCACCCTGCAAATGCACCTATAAAGACCATAAAAGATGGCCCAACTACTTGGGCCTCTGCACCCATGTGGGAGACTTCCAGAGGAAGCTCCTGGCGCCTGGCTTCAGATCGGCCCAGCTCAGGTAGTTGTGGCCATTTGGAGAATGAGCCAGCAGATAGAAGGTATCTTTCTCTCTCCCTCTCCCTCTCCCTCTGCCTATCCCCCACTTCCTCCCTCCTTCTCTCTAACTCTGATTTTCAAATAAATAAATAAATCTTTTTTAAAAATTTCACATACACATACATACTTAATATATATTTAAAGTTTTTATTTGTTAAAGGATTTTATTGATTTATTTGAGAGGTAGATTTACAGACAGAGGGAGAGACAGAAAGATCTTTCATCCACTAGCTCACTCTCCAAATGGCTGTAATGGCTGGAGTTGGGCTGATTTGAAGCCAGGAGCCAGGAGCTTCCTCCAGGTCTCCCATGTGGGTGCAGGGGCCCAAGCATTTGAGCCATCTTCTACTGCTTTCCCAGGCCACAGCAGACAGCTTGTTCAGAAGAGGAACAGCCGGGACACAAATTGGAGCTCATATGGGATGCCAGTGCTGCAGGGAGAGGCTTAGCTTACTATACCACAGCACCAGCCCCTAAAGACTTTTTTTTTATTTCAAAGGTAGAGTTACAGAGAAAGAGAAGGACACACATACACAGGGAGAGAGAGAGAGAGAAACAGAGACAGAGATGGACAAAGAGACAGACAGAGACAGAGAGAGATCTTTCATTGGTTGACTCCCCAAATTCACTCCACAACAGCCAGATCTGGGCCAGGCCAAGGCTATGAGCCTGGAATTCCATCCTGGTCTTCCACGTGGGTGGCAAGGGCCCAAAGCACAATGGGCCCTTCATTCCCGGCCCTCCCCCATGCCCATTTGCCAGGGAAGTTTTTTAGATGGGAAGTGGAACAGTAGGGACTCAAACTGGTGTTCATATGGGATGCAGGCATATCAGGTGGCAATTTAACCCACTGTATAACAATGCTAGCCCCCTATAAATGTTTGTTTCAGTGGGAAAATATGCTTTCCCCAAAAATCATAGGCTAAAATTAACATTCCAAAAAGATTTGTATTGGGGGCCGGTGCCGTGGCTCATTTGGTTAATCCTCTGCCTGCGGTGCCAGCATCCCATATGGGCACCAGGTTCTAGTCCCGGTTGCTCCTTTTCCAGTCTAGCTCTCTGCTGTGGCCCGGGAGGGCAGTGGAGGATGGCCCAACTCCTTGGGCCCCTGCACCCGCATGGGAGACCAGGAAGAGGCACCTAGCTCCTGGCTTCGGATCAGCGCAACTCCGGCTGTGGCGGCCATTTGGCGGGTGAACCAATGGAAGGAAGACCTTTCTCTCTGTGTCTCTGTCTCTCTCTCACTGTCTAACTCTGTCAAATAAATAAAAAAATTTTTCAAAAAAGACCTCTCAGGTCTGAGAGTGTCTATAAAAAATAAGATTTTTCTCATTAATAATGCCACATATCCCCCAAGAATATACATTTTAAGAAGCAGAGCACAGGGGTGGGTATTTGGCACAGCGGTAAGTTGCTGCCTGGGATGCCCACATCCTGTATTGGAGTCCCTAGGTCAAGTCTTGGCTCTGCTTCTGATCCAGCATCCTGCTAACGCACATCCTGGGAGGTAGTAAGTGATGGCTGAAGTGCGAGACCTACACTGAGTTTTAGACTCCTGGCTTCAGCCTAGCCCAGTCATGGCTGTTGTGAGTGAAACAATGGATGCAGGTTCTCTGTCTCTCTCCATCTCTGCCTTTCAAATACATAGATTTATTAAAATAAACATTTATAAAAATAAAGCATAGCATCTCTTATTGTTAAGCTCAGAAAAAAATAGTATGAAAAAGCTGACTATATAAGTAAAAATATGAAAGGAAAAGAAAACACCACAATATGTTAGAAAAATTTACCTGAGGTAGCCTAACATGTGGTTCTGGAGCCTAATAGGGAATAAGACAAAGTCCACTGGATAGACGATCATTGTTTCCATAGCTCTGAAACAGAATGGCTGTCCTAACCAGAGAGATTCAAGGTGCCTGTCTCCCATTTCGGAGCTCCTTAGTTCCATACTTGCCTCAAGCTCCTGCTGCTATGGATCCTGGGAGATGGTGGTGATAGCTCAAGTGGTTGGGTTCCTGCCACACATGGGGGTCCTGGATTGAGGTCCTAGCTCCTGGCTCTGAGCCAGCAGATGGGATCTCTCCCCTCCCCTCCCCTCCCTTACCCTCTCCTCTCTTCCCCTCTCCTCTCTCTCTCTCTCCCCCTAAATAAATAAATTAAAATATTATAATATAATGAAAACAAAGCTCTAGTTTAAGGAATCCAGTATACCACCCAAGGGCTTCCACAGGACATGCTCCATAGGCAACCACACCCCTGGCAACTTTCCAGTCATGTAAAAGAAGTTTTTTTTTTTTTTAAAGGTTGGACTCTGTAATTAACACACAATTATTCTTAGGTGTTTAAATTTTAACT